CAAGCGCAATAAGAAGTATATATATATATGTGTGCATATATAGATATATTTATGAATAAAAAAACCTTTTTAGCTGCACTTTGCTTCCATTTGCGCTCTTCAATAAAATCAACTGCCATCCAGGAAGCTTCTTCTAGAAGAAAATCCCAATGGACCTTAGCCCGACGTGGTTCAAGTATTTTAGGTAAACGCGCGGCGGACCAAAGGCCACGAAGTCTAAGAGATTCGATCTGCTGTAAAACGTTTGTTTCACGAACTGCTTCGTGCTGAGCTCCTATTAAGTCGGTTCGATTTGAGGCTATAACATTTGGGGCGCTGAAATGATGTATAAACGCGAAACATAAATGTCCCGTATGAAAAATTAAATAAATTTAAAACGAATGTAAGTGATATTCACAATTATGAAAAAATATAAGAGAGTAAGTGTACCAGGCAAACAAATTAGCGATGGTGATCATGAAATTTACCTGAGCATATTAACGGGCATAGGCCTCCTGTTTTGACCATTTTTTTCAGTAGGTGGACCTTTTCGGAGCCCCCTCAACGGAATGTGTAAAAAATAATGAGTCTGTGAGGCACCACATTCTATCGGGGCGACAAAAGCCGTTTGGTAGGTTCCAATTTGACTGTTTTCAGTCTCGTCAAGTGAGATTTGCCTTTTAGTAGACAAAGTATCATCGCACTGAAAATCCGTAACAGCAGATGGTCTTTGAATCGAGAAACACGAATCCAATTTTATAAGAGGAAGTTTTTTGGTCTCCAAAAATGTAGCCTCACGTTTGAGGTTATCGGCATTACGGGAAATTTGGGACAAATGATTAAGAATACTTGAAGAGTTTATATGTTTTGTATTGATAGTGACATCATTTACCGATGGCGGTATCGTACAACCATCTCGTGAAAGCTGCTTAACCAAGGCATGCTGAGGTCTAGGGTCCGGTCTATCAGCAAGCATAAGTAAACTTAGAGCTTGAAGGTCTGTAAATTAATCAAATTAGGATGGTGAAGAATATAAGAGCAAACATATGTAGTGTGCTTTCTAAATAACCCTAAATTAAATAATACAAAAAGTAATAGAAATACGAGAGGAGCAGAGATTAATTAAACGGCAACAAAAGTACGTCTACGATTAGTAATTATTAGTGTAAATTTATAACGTATGGAACCATGTAAAAGTTGCTATATAGTATAAATAGAGTCAGCACAAAATAGGTATTTAAAAATAAAGAATGAGTGATGGTTCCAATAATATAAAAACGAGGAACTTACCGAACTATTTTAGACATGTAACAGCATTATTAAAACCAAAAAGACCGCGTAAGAAGCCATTATGCGTTTTAATGTTTAACGAACCAAATAAGGCTTAGGTTTTTCATGTATTTAGCTCTCCAATATCCAAAAAATACATTTTAGAAATTAAAATTCTTTATTTTGAACACTAAAACGATGTATTTAAATGTAGCATTTGCAAATTCATTTATATTTTTATTTGAGGGACATTCATTTCGTATGAAATTGCATTCTAAAATATGGTCAGATAAATTAGTATCTATCGAGTCAATGTATACAAAAAAAATTTTATAAATGTCAAACAGATAAAACATGTTTTGGTAGATGAAATAAAGTCTCTTATAATGATAAGATAAGACAAGCATACAGATAGATAATCAAACTTTGACCAGAATCGTATGCATATCATATTAGCAAGAAAGTTTGTAGTAGGCGTGGTTATAGCTACTATTTGCACTTTACATTTCAATCCTTCCGTGAAAATTATTTGGATTCGGGCAAGTAAACATACCGTATGCTAGATTATTCTCCTATTAAAACTTCAGTCACATTAAGTTGCTTAATGTGAGTTAAAGAGTTATATTTAAGCTCAATGAAGCCTTACTATTG